TGCCACAGCAAGCGACTCGGGGGAGCCTGGTGCCAGACCACATTTAGGGCAACTATATTTCCGGATACCAATTTTATGCAAAAATTCTGGCGTGCGATAGACCGTGTGGAGTATAAAAAGTTGCGTTAACCAGTGAGAAGCAGACAGTGAAACAGCTGACGGAGCCCCCTTCCACTCCTTTACACTCATCCCTGCCTACACAAGAGGTTATTTAGATAGAAATCGAGACTGCAAGAGAGCATGAGTAAAAGATATCACCCCTTTAGTAACCATCGCTTTAAGGACAGGCTCCAAGACCCTCGTGAACTGCACCCGGACCGACCCAGTAACAGGGTGGGACTGCAAGGCATGTCTTAGTTGCAAATACAAATGTAAAGAGCGAGTAGGCAGCAACAATTCAGACTTTAGATAATTAAAGGTTCTAAAAGATCCATCCTCATACACATGGGAGAGCAGACATACACCCAGGTGTCTCCAAACTCCAAAAACAGAAAGCTTGGCAACCTCTGGTTAACACCCATTTTTCCACAAAGGAGTATATTGAGTAAACCCGGAAACCACCAAAAGGCATTTGAGTCCCACAGTTTACCCATAAGTCTATCTGCGGGCATAGCTAAAGGAGCCCTAACTTAGCGAGACGTTACAAGAGAGTACAGGGTCAAACCCACCAAACAAATATTTCAATATGTCAAAAGCCGGAGACCTAAAGCCACCCCCTGCCCATCCAACAAGGTGCTGCAGCTGGGATGCCAAAAAGTACAGCCACGGGTTAGGGGCCGGAAGACTCAACCCCCATCCAAAAACCCCCCCCGCTCTTTGGCATAGTGCTAGATTTCCAACTTAATTTGAGGTTTATTGCCTCATATTATTATTATTATTATACAGGATTTATATAGCACCAACAGCTTGCACATCCCTTTACAATATAAGGAAGACTATTACAATACAATTCAAGACAAGATGGTAAGGAGGGCCCTGGTAAGGAGGGACCGTCATGGTTTACAATCTAAAAGGGAGCGGCAAGGGACACATGAGGAGTTAGCTGTGTGGGGATGAATTGTTTGAGAACGTGATGGTGGAGTAGTTTGAGGTTGGGATAGGCATCCCTTAAAAGATGAGTCTTAAGGGATCGCCTAAAGGCAGTCAGAGTGGGAGCTAGGCGGACAAGTTGGGGTAGAGAGTTCCATAGGATGGGAGAGACTATAGTGAAGTCCTGGAGGCGTGCATGGGAGGAGTTGACGAGGGAGCTGGAAAGCAGGAGGTCTTTGGAAGAGTGGAGGGGTCGGTTAGGTTGATACTTTCAACCTCGGAGGTACGGAGGTGGCATTTTACAGTTCTGCTATAAGCTCATGGTCGCTTTATCGACCATGAACTTATATCGGAACTGTTCCTCTGACTGTCCCCTTTCAATTAAAAATTAACTAAAATTCCGGGCGCCCCTCCGCCGGCACCCTGGCCGATGGCCGCTGGCATATTTAGCTTCTGAACCCTGCCTGGAGCCGCTCCATGCAGGGATCTGTGTCTCAATGGATCCCCGCTGCTCTCCCCCGTTTTGTAGGGGCTGAGGCAGCGGGGCGAAGGA